TTCTCTCTCTCTCTCTCTCTCTCTCTCTCTCTCTCTCTCTCTCTCTGTATCTATCTGTCTTCCTCTGTGTGTGCATCTCTGCTGCTTCTTTCTCTCTCTCTCTCTCTCTCTCTCTCTCTCCCTCTCTCCAAACAACAGCAGCGTTCTTTTAAATATAAACAAAAACAGACGAAAACCAAGACAGCAAGAAAACTCCACCCTTTCTTCAGTATACATGAACTACCTCCAAGTGAACTACCACTACCACCACACTGAGCACTGAGCGTGCAGTCTGGAAGTAGCATGTCTATCTAACGTCTTCTCGCTGGGGTATCTCCGGCGATCAGAGCCCGGGGTTACCTAACCCTCCCTGGGTTATCAGCTGCAATCAGGGCTAGACCAAGGAACAATAACTCTGTGTTTGGATTGCATTACTGTAGTCCGTACAGTGCTCATGAACGATAAGTGTAGCGTCGTGGTGAAACCAGGCGCTCGTCAATTTAATGAAATCGAGGAAACATGTATTTTTTCCGTCCGCCAGGCAATTAAAGGCACAGAATTGTAAATTTGCAGCCTCCAAGGACTGTCAAACTCAGGAAGTCACCTAACTTTTGCGGCCGTTTTCTCGCTAATTTTGCCTCTGACACCCTTATCTTCAATTGCAAATATCTCAACTTGTCTTCAAGATAGATGGGCAGCCTTGTCATCAAAAAAGAAAAAGAGCGCGAACCAACAACTCCGCACGCCCAAAAATTGACAATGCCCGATTCCACCCGCCGTGACATATAAAACCTTTCTAGCCCTGTGTGTAGACATTTGAGCCTTTTATCAACGTCCTAAGGTGGGTTGGATATCCCTTGAAAAACGCCAACTCATTCTCCGTGTGTCTGTTTTCTGCCTGTCTGCCTAGTCGTACGTTTGTCTTTGCATTTCTGTAATCCATCTCACTGCTTTCTCTATCTGTTTTTCTTTTGCTTTGTCTCTTCCGTTCCATCTCTCTGGGTCTACCACCCATCTACCGGCCTCTACTTAGACTCTGTAGCGGGCGGTGGGAGGGCGCCACTGGTAGGTCCTGCTTCTTCACTTTCCTTATAATTTTGTTTATGCTTGTCTGTCTGTATGTTTTACTTTTTCCTAGCACTAAATGACCGTTAATTTGTCGATGTGCTTCTCTTTACCCAAACAAACTAACAACAACAAAAAAAACTCTCAAACTCTGTATCCCCCTTCTGTCTTTCTCTCACAATTTTTTTGGGGGGTGTTTTGTTTTTGTTCTTTTGTCTTTCGAAGTAGAAGCTCAGTTTTCTTTTTCTTTTTTCCCGAAGCTCACATCTTGTACTCTGCAATTATCAGATGCTTTCGCCTCTCAAGTGCCGACCCGTGCTGCTTGAATGCACGGACAAATGGTTTGGACTTAATCCTTCGATGCTTTCTCAATATCTCCCCGTCTGTCCACCATTCACACAGGCACACCCATACACGCATACCAACATAAACACACACACACACACACACACACACACACACACACACACACACACACACA